GAATATGAAAACAAATATATATATATGTATATGTATAACTGAACTAATACCCTGTACACCAGAAATTGACACAATATTGTAAACTGACTATACTTCAATAAAAAATTTTAAAAAAGTATATAGTTCAGAGGCATTTAGTACACTCACAGTATTGTGCAACTATTACCTCTACTTAGTTCTAAGACATTTTCATCACCCCAGAAGGAAGCCCTGGACCCATTAAAACAGTCCCTCCCTCTCCCTCTCTTCCCAGCCCCTGGTAGCCACTAATCTGCTTTCTGGCCCTATGGATTTACCTATTCTAGATGTTTCATGTAAACAGAACCATATAATATGTTACCTTTTATGTCTGGCATCTTTTCCTAACATAGTGTTTTCAAGATTCATCTGTGTTGCAGTATGTATTTGTATGTCATTTTTTATGGCTGAGTAATATTCTGTTGTATGTATATACCACATTTTGCTTACTCATCATCAGTTGACAGACATTTGGATTTGTTTTCAGCTTTTGGCTATTATGAATAATGCTGCTATGAACATTTGTGTACAAGTTTTTGTTTGAATACCGGTTTTCAATTATTTGGGGTATATATAGTACCTATAATGAAATTGTCAGGTCATGTGATAATTCTACATTGAACTTTTTGAAAAACTATCAAATTGTTTTCCACATGGCTGTACCATTTTACATCCCCACAAGCAATGTGTAAGAGTTCCAGTTTCTCTATATCCTTACCAACACTTGTTACTTATTATTATTATTATTACCCTAGTGGGTATGAAGTGGTATTTCATAGGGTTTTGATCTGCATTTCTCTAATAATTAATGATATTCATAATCTTTTCTTGAGCTTATCGACTGTTTGTTTACCTTCTTTTGGGAAATGAGTCTTCTAGTCCTTTGCCCATTAAAATTTTTTTGTCTTTTTGCTGTGTTTTAGGAGTTCTTTATGTATTCTAGATATCAATTCCTTATCAGATATATGATTTGCAAGGATTTCCTCCCATGCTGTGGGTTTTCCCCTTTTCTTGATAGTGTTCTTTAATGCACAGAAGGTTTTAATTTTGATGTGCTTTTGGTGTCATGTAAAAGAAATCAGCATCAATCCCAGGCCATGAAGCTTTTCCCTTACATTTTCTTCTAAGAGTTATGGTTTTAGTTCTCATGTTTAGGCCTTTGATCCATTTTCAGCTAATTTTTATATGTGGTGTAATGTAAGGGTCCAAATTCATGTTTTTCATGTGGATATCCAGTTGTTCGAGCACCATTTGTTGAAGAGACTAATTTCTCCCATCAAATGCCTTGGCATTCTTGTCAAAAGCCAATTTACTAGAGGGTATTTATCTCAATTCAATTTCATTGATCTGTAGTTCTATCATTGTGTTAATACTAAAATGTTTTGATTACTGAATTTTTTGTAGTGAGTTTTGAAATCAGTAAGTGTGAGTCTTCCAACTTTTCTTTTTCAAGATTGTTTTGGCTACTCTGGATGTCTTGCAATTCCATATAAATTTTAGGATCAGACTTCCATTTCTGCAAAAATGGTTATTGGGATTTTGATAGGGATCACATTGTATCTGTAGATTGCTTTATGTGTTATTGCCATCTTAATAATATTAAATATTCCCATCCATGAACATGAAATATACTTCTGTTTATTAGATCTTCTTCAATCTCTTTCAACGGTGTTCTGTAGTTTTCAAAGTATAAGCCTTGAACCTCCTTGATTAAATTTATTCCTAAGTATCTTGTTCTTTTAAGTGCTATTTTAAGTGGAATTGTTTTCCTAACTTAATGTTTTTGGATTGTTCATTACATGTTTATAGAAATACAGCTGACTTTTGTGTGTTGTTTTTGTATTCTGCAAGTATGCTAAATTCATTTATTAGCTCTAACAGTTTTTTGTGGATTCTTTAGGATTCTATATACATATATATGTATATATGTATATATATGTGTGTGTGTATATATATATACATATATATATATACACATATAAGCATGTCATTTGTGAATATAGATAGTTTTACTTCTTCCTTTGCAATCTGGATACACTTTATTTTTCTTTTTTCTTTTTGGTATATATACATATATATATTATTGTATAGTCAGTTTACAATGTTGTATCAATTTCTGGTATACAGCATAATGCTTCAGTCATGCATGAACATTCATATATTTGTTTTCATATTCTTTTTCACCATAAGTTACTACAAGATATTGAATATAGTTCCCTGTGCTATACAGTATGAACTTGTTGTTTATCTATGTTTATCTATTTTATATATATATTTCTTGACTAATTGCTCTGGCTGGAGTTTCTAGTACAATGTTGAATAGAATTGGTAAAATAAGACACCCTTGTCTTGTTCCTGATCTTAAGAGAAACGTTCAGTCTTTTATCATTGAACATAATGTTACCCATTCACATTTATTTATTTTAAAATCTTTTTTTAAACTCTAATTTGAAATAACTGAGTGAAATTATACCACTTCGAAACCTAACACATTCTCTGAAAGTTCACCAATCCCCAGAGATGATTGCTATTCATATTTTGAAATTGATTTTTAAACGTCCTTTATATTTTTCTTCAAAAATGCAATCTGGTAGATACTGTCTATATTTCTAAAACAAGCAGCAGATATCTTATCTGTAGCATCTCAGATAATGGGAGTTAGCTTAGTTACCATTAATCTTGGAACAAAGCATTTTGAAATGCACCATCTTCAGGAATATGACTGGTACTTTTTAATGTGTGCTTTTTGTTTTAAATTACAGATTGGTTTTGTCCTTTATCCCCTCAATGGAGGTCCTGCATGGGATTTAGTGGATCATGACAATATTACGTTTCTCACCATATGCTTATGTTGGCATTATGCATTCACTATTATCATCATTGGAGCAATTTATGCCTTTGTCACCTGGTAAGTTAGTGATTTTTGTTCATGAAAGTTCTATTTTTCAGTATATAATCATCAAGACTTGATAGTACTGAACTTTAAACTCAAAGGGGTATTTCATTCCTTAGCATTCCACAAAACAGGATAATGTGGCAGAAAATTAACTGCAAACACAAACATTCCCAATAAAAAGAATACATACTGATTTATTGTTAGAGTACTTAAACAGTGTCTCTACTGTGCTTCTAACCTATGTATCACCCTTCAACACATTCTTCTGTGCCTCCAAGTCTTTGCATTTGCTGTTTTCTTTTCCAGATAATTTTCACCACACCCGCAGCGAGCCCTCTGTTTGCTCCTGTGTACATCAGTTATAGCACTTCCTAGGTGTGGTGTCATTTTTGACCAACATGTATATCTCACATTAAATTTGAATACCCGATTAATTTGGCATTTACTCTAATATTTATAAAAGTGAGATTCCGTTAAATGATACATGTGTTTCATGTTGGGTGAGGAGCAATATAACAGATTGATAAGAACCCATATTCCTAGGTCTGCTGCTTGTCAGTTATATGACTTTGGGCAAATTATTTAACCACATTAAGTACCAGTTTTATTGTTTGCAAAATGGAGATAATAATAGTACCTTAATGTTTAAACTACCTAGGACTTAATAAGAGCTCAGTGAAGATTCTTCTTCTTCTTGTGCTTTTCTTTTCTTTTTCTTTTTGGTTCCTGTGATAGATTTCTTTTTGAAGTACAACTGACATACAACATTATACTAATTTTAGGTTACAACATAATGATTCAATTTTGTATACATTGCCAAATGACCACCACAGTAAGTCTAGTTACCACACAAAGTAACAAAAAATTTTTCTTGTAATGAGAACTTTCAAGATTTACTTTCTTAGCAACTTACAAATTTGTAATACAATATTACTGATTATTGTCACCATGCTGTATATAACATCCCCATGACTTATTTATTTTATAACTGGAAGTGTGTAACTTCTTGATCCTCTTCACCCATTTTGCCTACTTCCCCTGACTCTGGTGACCACGAGTCTCTTCCCTATATCTATGTGTTTTATTTTGTTTTCATTTTGTCTGTTCATTTGTTTTTTAGATTCCGCATATGAGTGAAATCATATGGTATTTGTCTTTCTCTGTCTAACTTATATACTTGAGGGTATTATGCAAAGTGATATAAGTTAGACAGAGAAAGACAAATAACTATTTCA